CGATCCCACACTCATTTTTGAGCAGAGCTTGTGGGTTGCGCTCTCTTTCTCTCTCTGATGGTATCATTATAACAGTGTCATTCCAGCTGAAACGGGAGAGACAGAGAGCAGCTTTCTCTCTCAGTTTGCTTAGCTGTTGGCCGAGCTCGCCACCGCCCCCCTTTCCACTTCTACTTTTACAGTTTCTTGAAATTCTCGAGTTTTGGCGACGCGTCAACATCCTCGTCGTATATGTATGTACATATTATTATTTATAAATGTTTTTTACAGTGTCCGTGGGGATCGTCTACCCGCTTCGCTACTCTTCACACCCGCCTCCCTTTCTGTTTGTACATATGTATGTATGTACATATGTGTACGTGCGCCGCCAAGCTCGAAGTTCTTCTTACTCGCTCTCGGTTCAATGGAATTTTGTTGTTGCCCATGGATTTTTCATTTTTTGCAACTAGATTTCATGTGCAATTTCATTTGGTCGCTGCATTTTTGCAAAATTGTTTTTGCCTAGCATTTTTTGTTCTTCCTTTTTGCAAAGAGGCTCGTCCGCAATTGCAGCAAGTGAGAGTACATATGTATGTACATACATATGTATGTACGTGGGCATGTCTGCAAACGTGTGTGCTGGCATGTGGCCTCATAACTGTTATACAAGACCAGACACCAACAGTCGAAGAGCAACAAATAGAAACTGAAAATCATGCTAAACAATTTGTACATTAGTTTTTGGGAAATTCAAATTTTAAAAAAACAGTCAAAAGTTTTAAAATCTAAATAATTTGCAAGCTTAAAAACAGACACTTCAATAAGTGAGAAATAAAGTTTTTCCCAAAAATGTCTCAGGGGATTTTCACAGCATTGCTAATTTCTTACACCCCGCTGTATGCATATTCCATTCACTCACAGCCACGGTACACGCCCCCTGGGGGGAAAGAGAGGCTGTGAGGTGGGCAGAGAGAGCGAGTGCGATGACGTCTTGGGGCAAAGCAACAACTGCAACTCCCTCTCACTCTGCGTTTGTCTATCCCCCTCTCACTCCGTGCTGCACGTGTCTTGCGAAATTATTTCGCAACAATAATAAAATTCATTAGTTGTTTACGCCAGTTGGGGGCAATAAAGCTCCAAAAATAAAATCCAAAAATCTCAAAGTGCAAAGTGCATTAAAAATTCAGTGACTTTTGACGATTTTAAGAAGGTTTTGTTTTCTACATATATGGAAAGACGCTCCCCCGTCTCTTTTCGTACATATGTACATACATATATTTCCAAGTGTAGGTGTGTCTGCGTGCGTCAGTGTGTGTTAACTGGTGCGACAGAATTGATTAATTGTTTATCTGGCTTGGTTACACGTTCCGTTACTCAGGAACACACAGAGACCAATCGCAAAAAAAAACAAAATACTATTATATTTAAAGCCAAAGTGAGGGATACCCTTTAAAATCAATAAACACCTTTTGGGAAATGATTTTACATATTTAGAAGTACAAAATTGAAACAGTAATATGTTAATCTACCCAATTGCAATCAATATTCTTTTAGAGCACCATTATTATCTGCGTTTTATGAGATCCTTTAACAGGAAACTATAATCAAATAAAAACATATGTACAAAAAAATACTCTAATACGTAAATAACTAAAGAATTTAGTAAACCAAATTGGATTTGTAGGATTTAATTAGTGCACATTCCCAATATATGTACATACATACATACATATGTGTTTGATAAATTAAAAACTCAAAGAAGGTTCTACCATAGGTAATATTTCTTTAAACGCATCCAGGACCTTTAAGATTTATTTAGATTTTAAGGATCTTACCAACTGGCTGAAAAATTCAAATAAATCTCTTTTAGGGTACATAAAAAGGTAGCTACATTATAATAATGGCAAACGCCGTTGTTTCTTTTTCTTATCTGCAGTCACGGAAATTGCTTTGCTGAAATGCGAAATAGAATAAAAAAAGAGGGTGGGAGTAGGAAGAAGGGGTGGAAAGAGGGGCCAAGTCACTTAAGAGGGGGCCAAAGAAGGGGGCGTGTCATTCAATTCCATCAAGTGCCGCAACAGTCATCGTTAAATATCTTATCCTTCAATGACTTAATCTTAAAGTTATAAAAATACCTTTGAGCTGCACAAATAAATGCCCCTTGAGGTCCCTAAAAAAAGGTGTTTAATTGTTACTGATCTACAAGCTAACAAACGAGTTCCTACTGTACTGGTTTCCACATATGATCGTTTAATTTTCTATACATGCAATGTATGTGAATATGTATGTCTGTGGTGATATACATACATATGTATGATAAGACCACAAAAAAATAGGTGCATTGGCACGATGAATCAGCACTTTGAAAATGAGCAATGAGTTTCAAGTGCAGCTATACTTCGTTTGTAAATGATCAAGATCTATAAAAAAACACATTAAAAACAGAGACAAAGAAAAATTTGACTACATATTAAGTGAATAAGTGACACGCATTTGTACATATTTTAAGAAATTATATATTTAAAAAATTTTAAAAAATACTTACACTTACCTTTTCACAGGCTAAAAACTTTATATTATTGAAATCACAGGTGTACGTGTGCACAAATGCATATTATCCAAAAGGAAGAATACTGGTGAAATTATTAATAAGTGAGTCTTAAATTTCACCGATATCGTCATCAATAAGTACTGCAATTTAATGCATTATTTTTATAAATAAAACACTTTATTGTGTTATAGATGAGTGGACTTGAAGAAATTCCAGCTATGCTTCTGAATTTTATAACAGGTTCTTTAAGGTAATACCCCTTTGACAAAAGCTGCAGAAAAAAAATTCAACTGGTTCCAGTTGGATTTTTTGTAAGGGGTTCGGGCAGTTCCCTTTACACCGCCCAACCACGCCTTGAATTCCAATGATTTCGTCAGCCAAAGTGGGGATTACAGAACTGTTATACATATCCCATTGCCTGTTTCTCCGGTGTCACCTTCAACTGTCATACTTGCGCCTTCGCCCCCGGTGCTCTTTCATTTAATAGTACACGTTTTGGGAATCCAGTTTTGGGGGCTCGCCCCATATCACACACAAACACACTGAATATGCTCGTTGTGTACGTGTGTGGGTGTTTCTGCGATTGTATTGGGGGTTTGCCCATGTGCGCTTGCTCATCGCCTTTGTGTTGTATGTACTGAATAATCGATTTTTTACAGCATTTTATCGTATGATATTAGCTCTTCTCTCAGTATGTCGACTGTGACGTCAATGATGATGACGTCGCCCACTCTCTATCGCTCTCTCTTTTCTTCGCCATCTCGCTCTCACTTGAAGGGGTCAATGCAGCCAACGAAAGCGCGTGGAAAATTTGTGAAAATCGTCGGCCTTCGGTTTATAAACAAAAGTCATTAATTATAATACGTTTTTGGCAACTGTAAATAACTTCACGTGACGCCTGGCCAAAAGCCGGAAAATTCATCTGACAGAAAAAAGGCAAAAAAAATCCAAAACCACATTAAACGGGAAAAATAGATAAAAACAAAATTAGCGACAAAAAACCCATAAAAAATGTTCAAAATCGCCCAGAGAAATTCAGCGAAAAATATCCACATAATATAAAAAGACAAATAAACGCACATGTTTATGTTATACGTAACTTTATAGCTCACACAAATAAATTATTATAAAAGCTTATAGGCATACGCACTTTTAATAAACAAAGTAAATGGCAAGAACAGAAGTACCGCTTTTTAAGTTAAAAAAAAAAATATAGTTATCAAAACAATCTTTTGGCGGTATAATAAAAACTGTGAGCTCTTACATATCCTCACAATAAATAACACAAATTTATATCAAAACATAAAATAAACGAATTAATAACTATTTAATGTGCTTTTCATATTTAAAAAAGAACAAGATCAAATATTTTTGATTTTTGTTCATAGTTGATTTTTGAAAAGTTGTTCTACAAAAAATATATATTATATAAAAAGTCTTAGTTAAGTCTTATAAACAAAAATAACCAAAAATATTTATAAGGATGTTGTCTTTTTATATACAGGTTGTTTTTATTTTTAAAAATTGTATTTAAATACATTGTGCAGAACAATTTAAATTCAAACAATTTGGAATCCATGTGTTGGTTAATAAAAATATCAAAACTAAAATGTATAAATGGATAAGAACTCCATTAAAAAACGCAGCCAGTCAATAAAAATCGCTCGTTTGGCCTTGTTGGTTGGCTGATTACGCGGTGGGCGGTGGGAGGCAAAAGGGGAGGGGGGCTTGGTCAACCAAAAGAACTACCTCTAAACTACTACTATATACATAAGTCCCCCTGCAATCCGGCACTCCTTTCGCTTTCGTGCAAAACAGAATCGAGTTGGGCAAGGTCACGGGGTAAAGGGCGGCGAATAAACTTCGTCAAGGTCACCGGCGCAAGCGTATAACAGTTGATGCCGCCACACCGCCTCGCCGCCCCCTCGACACTATAAAATATAAGATTATTGCAAGTGATCATCACATCACCGAAAAACCCGTTTTATCTCGAGAAACTAACCATAAGACGCAACGGAATAAAACTGGTTGGATCGGTCCGCTGATAAAGCTATAGCATAGCCCAAATAGCCTAGACATTTGTATGTTTACTAGACTAACCGAAGGTGTCTTGCCTTGGAAACGTTTTCGATGAAGATCGTAAAGTTTGATTTTTATTTTGGACGAAAACCAAAAACACGTTTCGGACACATGAGACGGCGGGACCGTGAACTGTGGGTCTGCTGCCAGATTAGACTGACTCGTGCCATACAACATACAAAGTATTGGGTGGCGCGATGCTGCGTCTGGAAGGCAAAGGCAAAAGCACGTGAAAGGCAAACGGTCAAAGGAGCTCTGCATTTTCAGATTTTAAATTTAAGGCGCCTTTAGCAGGCGTTGCCAGAAGTGAAGTCAAATTTAACATGTTAAAATCATCAACACTTACATCAAATTTGTAATATATTATTATTATCATTTTGTTAAATCCCACCTATAAAACTTGAAATTCTATACTTATAACGTTTTTTTTTAAACTTACTCATCACACAATGATTGCCATCTCAAGTCGACAGCCATAGTTGCCGGATCAGCAGAATAGGAAGGTTGTGTTTCTTTTGGTATTTTTTCCAGTGTCTATCGACACTATCGCCGCAGCAGTGTTGCGAGACGCCGCGGAAAAAGTGCTGCGAAACTGCGCAGCGAAGAGTTTGCAAAAGGTATTTTGTTGTTGTTCCGCTCGCGAGCGAATCGAATAACTATACTATGGAATTTTAGTTTGCGGGATTTTAGTTTATCTATGGCACCGCTTGGCACGCGAATATAAAACCGATTCGTATTTGAAAAACGAAAAGCACTCGAAAAGCAGCGGTTGAAAACCAGTCAAGTCCCAGTGAAGGCCAAACCATCATTGTTATTATTATTTTTTATTTTTTTAACCGCTGTGCGGGAGTGCGTGGTGTGATTAAAGTGAAAGGAAGAAAGAAGTGAATTCGAAGAAAAGAGGCAATGACAACGTCGACAATCAAGCCATCGGGCAGCGAGGAAGTGCCACCGGCGGGGGTGATGGGCGGTGTCGGAGATGTGGGAGTGGCCGCCAGCCTGTCCAAACGCGATTCCGAGGAGGATACGTGGGCCTCCAAGGGGTATAACTACATAAATCCGTTCGTCCATCGCATCGAAATCGACAGTCACATTGAGGTGGCCAAGGTGAGTGAGCCAGACCCCCCTCCCCCTCCACCTCCCACGCCTCTGTTTTTTCTCCTCCCTCTTTCCATCTCCCTTTTTCATTCATGCAAATCGGGCACATGTGCGATCTCCAGGCGCGCATCCAAAGGGGGCTTACGTTATGGATTTCCTCAAAACGTTGCTATTTACTATCCGCATAATAGCTATAGAAAAAAGGAAACGGAATTGCTTTAAAAAGTATTACTTTTCGTACGCCCCTGGCGATCTCCACTGGAGAGTGAGAGCGGGAGAGAACTTTCTATCGCCTCATCTCTTCCTCTCTCTCTCTCGCCTTCGCATTGCACTTGACATGCATTTATGCCGTTACATTGGTCAATGTTTTTGTTCTTTATCGCATTGTTTTTGTTTTTTTTCCTTTTTTTTGCCGCTTTTACCTCCTTTTTCCTCTATTTTTTTTATCTGGCTCTGTCGACTTCTCTGCCTACGTCAGCGATTTTTTTTTGCTGGCGGCAGCGAGAATCGTATGATTTTCTTGTTCTCTTTGTTGTTGTTAAGCCCCACTAGGATTGTTGCTGTTGTTGCTGCTGCTGCTGCTGCGACGCCGGTTCTTTTGGCATGTGTGCCGTTATAGTTGTTATTGTTGGTATTGACAGAAATCCATGCCTCTCCCTCGCACTTACCAAATCATATGGGGGGCTCTTGTTCCGCTTTATTCCCGTTTTCTTTCTTGTATCTATTATGCCTTTTTAATGGGTGCTCTAAAGAGATGAATGGGTATACTGGGATAAGACATTACTAAAGGGTATTCTGGTGGAAAAAGAAAACGGAAAACAGATATAACCATTTCAGCAATATAAAGATCTTATCAGCACTTTATATGTGATACAATAATTTGTTTATAGGGTATCTTAAAGATACAACCTCTAAGTCATAAATTAAAAACATAGACAAAACAATCATAAAGATACTGACTAAAAATACGTTTTGTAAAAATTCACGACTTATTTTTCCAAGAAACTATGCAACCCATTGATATATATAACCTATAAGCTTGTAATTCTTAAACATCTTAAAAACTTAGCAATCCATTAAATACCATTAATAGGAATTAAAAGGAAAAGATCTATAAGTGCAAAAATATATAGGAAAAGGTACAGTCAAATATCAAATATTTGAATTATACCCTGAAAACTGCAAATTCCATCTAAAATAAAACTATACAAATGTTACCCACGCGTTCATCCCTTAAAAGATTTTAAAATGGAATTTGCAATTTTATTGAATCATAAATGTTTTGAAATTAGTTTCGCCCTGATAGGACACATGTTTTGTTCATTGAAATAAACTTGAATAACTTATACCAATGACGTCACTCAAAGTAATTACAAATATATTATTTTTATTAGGCTTGAAATATGTATTACCGGGTATATTTATGGTGTATCTAACATTTTCTTTGTTCTTTCTTCGAGTTTTTTTGTACAGTTCCTGCTATGGTCATGTAATAAGGTTCGGGTTTTAAATTCCCAGCCCTCTTGAAACCCCATAACAATATGTATCACCCCATCGATTAACCCGACACTTTATCGCTAACTCCCATTGCCGCGTCAGGGGTTTTATTGGTTTTAAAGCGAAACGCTTCTAGTTTCTTGCACGTGGGTTATATCGGAGAATTCGCCAGCTGCTAAATATATGCATACGTATGTATGTATATCGTATAGAACGGAACGTACCGTACGTAACGTTCCATACTTCCCATATTTTGGTTAAGCTCGCTATTTGCACTTAGCACTAATTGCTGCGATTGGCAATAACACAATAATAAACAAAAGCAAATACAATGAACAGCACAAGTGTTTCGGCTTGTTTACGGATCAGTGCAGATTTTCCCGGGAAATTGTCTAATTTCGGTTAATAGTTGCACGGCGAAAAAAGCGGAAATATGTCGATTTTCGATTGCACATTTTTTTTTTAATTTCTGAAACTTGAGTTCTATTGTCGCACTTTTTCATTATCAATTATTCTAATACATCATTTCCTCTATCATTTTGACACTACATCATATCAAGCTTAATAATTAAAAGTCAAACATAGACCTTTTTTTTCACTATTTGATAAATTGTTTTTCTGATTCACACCGTCTGTGGTGTGTTTCAAATGAGCAGTAGTCATTGGTGACGGGATTAATCGGGCTTCTCATAAGTTGACATTAGTTGCAGTATATGTTTATGGGTTCTATAAATAAATAGGGATTTAAGAGTAAAATGACTAAGAACCTTAGATGTTTTTCCAGAGACTAACTGGGTAAAAGTTGAGCTAACAATACATTTAATATATAATAAAAAATAAATGTATACTTTCTTGTTACTTTAAATGCTCTTAATTTGTATTAAATCTCAGTATTCAATTATTCCCATTAACCTACATATTATACAATGACTTAACAATCACGTGAGGTAAACGAATACTATATAATCAGTAGGAATCGTGCTATAACCGATCTCAGTGACGCATCTAAGTGGCGCTATCGCTGAGTCAAGTTTCAAAGTCTTGAACAATAAACGACAATTGTTCCAAACAGCTACAAAATTGATAACTGCAGTGAGGCGTATAAATAGTCAGGTTTGTGTGTATAATATAGCTATATATACAACGTTGAGAGTCTGAGATCAGCTGCACTCATTGAGCCATTGACCCACTAAAATAACATAATATGAATAAATAAAGTTTTTTTTTTGTTTTGCATTTTGTGGTGTAGGGGGGTAATATCACTGCGTGCACAATGCAAAAACCAGTTTCGCTTTCATTTCGCTTCCGTCCGAAGTTCAAGGCACTCGTTTGGCCCTGACATTGTTGCTGCTTCCCACTGAGTTGGCATGCAGCTACTTTGGCCATGTCGCCATAAACACTTGCGGTCGAAAAAATAGTATCAAGGCTCTAAAGCAATTCAACAGTCATGGAATTATTACCTGATTTATATAATTTATATTGTATATATTATATATGTTTTATATAAATTTAGCAGTACAACTTTCAAAATCCAAAACTTTTTTTTTAACCATAATTTGGCGTTAGTTATTCGCAAATAATTCGGGGAAGAAACAAATTTGGAGCTCAATTTTTTTGAAAGTTATCCAACATTAAACATTAACTTTAACAAAAATGTTTTTGCAGGAATTTGGCGTTAATTATCCGTATCGGAATCATTTACGGATAATTAACGGCAAATTATGGGTATAAAAGTTTGGATTTTGAAAGTTTAATTACTGTTTCAAATTATTAGTAAACTACAATCAAATAAAATGATATTACCTTATTTAATTAAATAGTAATAAAAAGCGTCCTGCGAAAGTAGTATGTTGTGGAATTGTCATGGGTTTTTTTAATAAAATGGGAGGGGAACACTTTTTTTTACCAAGATTTTTGACATTGTTTTGCTTGTATTTATATATTGAAATATATACGAACAAAAGGCATCTGAATGAGTTTTGTTTTTATTAGAAGAGATAAAAATAGGGGATCTTTGGAATGCTAGAAATATGAAAATAGAACTCTAAACCCAAAGACTGTCACCAGCTGAAAAGATTATAAAACTAAGCGATAATCGCTAGAGCATTATTGCTGAAATAAAGTCAGCTCCCAGACATATTATGTGGGCTTTTCTAGACTATTTCCATGCTGTTTCCTGGAACCGAAATTATCAAGAGGGCCGGATCGACAAGCAAAGTTCAGTTGCGTATTTTGGCGGGCCTTCACTTGACTGATAAACATCAGTAATCGACGATTAATGGCCGTTTATTGGCGGTCGGCGAATGTAAACATGGAAATGTTTGAGGCCCATTGATTTTGGAGGTCTGCATTAATAGCCGTCTGCTTGCGAATAACGTATACGTGATTATTTTTAGGTTTTTGTTGCTTTGAGAAATTGTGATAGGCTGTTTTGATTGAGTACTAGTGCACCAGGAAGAGGCCTTGTCTTATATTGGTTTAGTTTCTTATTAAAAGAAACACAAAAAGTAGTAAAGCAAAGCTATCTGATTTGTGTTAATGAACCTAATCTTATAAATTAAAATTTGGAAAAGTTTTAAATCATTAAAAGTTTTTATGTACATATATTATTTCTTCAGATATAATATTTATGCTTTGTTTTCAAAGTCACCTTATGAATAATCTCTACTATCAAAATTTTCGATTTAAAAACTGTTAGGCAGTCTGTATGCAACTCTAGAGATATAGAGACAATCGATTGCAGTTTGTATCGGTGCTTATTTTGCAACTATATATATCACTAGAGTTAGTGATTTGAATAACAGGTTACAGTCTAAAATTAATTTATTTAATTTTATATATTTCTTTGAGTATAATATGTATGCTTTGTTTCTTACTGCTTTGTTTCGACTCCAAAGCCGATTGTCCGACAATCGATTGCAGTGTTTATCGATGTATTTGAAACTTAGATAGTGATAGTGATTTGTATCCCCTGTATACTGTATTTGTACATTTTTGGCTTTGCGTCAAAATTATTGTGGCAGCAGGTAGTTACAAATCAGGCACCATGTCGTTGGCCGAGGCTTTGGACTACCTAATCGTGAGCAATCCAGTCAGTGAGACGATCCTGTCAACGGTCATGGCTTTCCTTGACAGCATTGGATGGCACATGCGCAAGATGCCGCTGGAGGAGTCGTACCTGGTGTTGCACCCATCGTCGCATCATTATGTGCGATCGCATAGCTCGCTGTATTGCCTGGCCGGTTGCCATTACCATTTCGTGAGGCTGGCCGGGATTGGCGGAGCATCGGCCATCTTTATGGGCGCCTACTGCAAGTATGTGCTGAGGGACTTGGACGATGTGCGGGATCAGCTGGACTCGCAGGCGTATGCGGATGTGGCCAATCGCATCCACTTTCTGCACTCCTTTGCCATGATGGCCATGCCCCTGGCCCACTATCCCCTGCTCACGGGCACTCTGATGATCACGGGCACGCTCTGCTTCAGCGGTTCCATGTACTATCGCGCTCTCACCGGTGAGCAATGGATGCAGCCGTATGCCACCATGGGAGGATTCTGCCTGATGGCCGCCTGGCTTTCCCTCATCCTGTAGCCACTTACTTATTGAAGAAGCCCGCTTTTGAGTGTAATGATACCTTGTTGTCATGCCAAAATGAACTTCTCGTCTGGGAGCAATAGTGTGTTGTAAATATAGTCTTAAAAGTGTACTCCAGACAATGGAAGACGATTTTAAGATGCATATTTCTCTGAGCTGTTGGTCAAATGTAAATGTAAATCACGGAACTTCAAATAAACCAAATGATGGTCATCTTTTTGGTGTTTGCGTTTTCAGGTTTAAATGGACTACACGAATTAACGATACCTCCTCCTTTAAAACTGGTTGTAAACGATGTAACCGCTGATTTAAATATATTAAGGATTATATACAAAATATTTATATTTATAAAAATTGTAAAATATTTGTTTAAAATTGAACAGAATACTCTTTAAATGGTATACTATATAATGTAGCCTTAACCCTAGCTCCCCCCTTAAAGCTGGTTGTAAGCGATGCAGCCGTTGACTGTATAAAAAATATTTAAATAAATATTTAAATGAATAATACTTTTACAGATCTATGTGCTGACAGTGCTGCTGCTGCCCATCCGCGTGGTGGGCTGCGTCCTCTCCCTGATCTCCGCGTGGATGTTCGCCTGCATTGGTCTCTATGGGATGACACTGGATGACCTCAAGGAGAAACCCCTTACCGGCTGGCGGAAGTGAGTTTACAGCATATATTCTTCTGAACATTTAACTAATTAAAAAAATATTTAATATGCTATCATGCTTTTCAGACATATGCAATGCATGACGGCCCGAGGAATGCGAATGGTGTACACCTTCGGATCGTTCCACTATGTGTCGATGAAGGGACGAGCGGCGACACCGAAGGAGGCACCCATTCTGGTGGTGGCGCCGCACTCCTCCTACGTGGACTCCATCCTGGTCGTGGCCAGTGGCCCGCCCTCGATAGTGGCCAAGCGGGAGACGGCGGACATACCGCTGCTGGGGCGCATCATCAACTATGCCCAGCCCATCTATGTGCAGCGCGAGGATCCCAATTCGCGGCAGAACACCATCAAGGACATTGTCGATCGGGCCCGTTCCTCGGACGACTGGCCGCAGGTGGTCATCTTCGCCGAGGGCACCTGCACCAACCGCACCGCCCTGATTAAGTTCAAGCCAGGTGCCTTCTATCCCGGTGTTCCCGTGCAACCGGTGCTCTTGAAATATCCCAACAAATATGACACCTTCACATGGACTTGGGATGGACCCGGCGTGTGAGTAGCAAAGTTTTTGCTTTTTCAAAAAAGATTTCATAAAAAGCGTGGCAATATAATAAATGTAGATCCTGAAATGTTACAAAAAATAATTTCAAGGTCTTTGAAATTCAAAGTGCTTCAAAAATAATGTTTAGTCATATCATTATGCAGAACCTAGGTTCAGTTAAAGTCCAATACTTATATTCCAAGGATTGTGGAATATCTAGAAAAGGAGTTTTGATAAGGGAAACAGTCGAAAAGTCGTTAAGTAGTACATTTAATAATTTTACAGGTCTTTACATTCCATTAGTAATTAATAGTAGTAATAATAGTGCTATTTTAAGAAAGTTTAGCGTAAATAAATGATGCTAGTTTTGCACTATTTGAACATGTATGTGTCAAATATTAACGATTTCCCAATTGTATCTAGGTTACGTCTTCTCTGGCTGACGATGACGCAGTTTTACAACCGGTGCGAGATTGAGTATCTGCCCGTGTACACGCCGTCGGTGGAAGAAATTGCCGATGCCAATCTGTATGCCAACAATGTGCGCGAGGTGATGGCCAAGTAAGTGGAAAAATTGCAAATACATAATTTGTATAAGTTAAATAGGCCATTTCCTTTGTTGTTACTATTTTTAGCAGCTTTGTTCTAGTTTTAGTCTTTACTTCCATTGAAAAGCATACAAATTCGGTTGCTTTAAGTGCTACTTATGTATTTGTAAATTAATAATTACAAAGCCTGACACGAATATAAAATTTATAATATTGACAATCATTTAATATAATTAAATATTAATTCAATTACTTTCCGGTAACTTTTTTGTCTTTAAGATATTTTTGAAACTTTTCTGAAGAAAACTGATTTGGCCAAAAGAACTTAATATTACTTGTATAACAATTATTGTTGGTTTATGCCATAAATAGACTATAAACGTAGCTAAATAGATTTTTGGAATATTAATTATATATGTTTAAAGGGCCCTGGGAGTACCCACCTCAGACTATTCCTTCGAGGACGTTATTGTGATGAGCCGGGCCCGCGACATGAAGATCCCCTTTCCCGGCGACATCGTGGAGATCGAGAGGACCATCGAGAAGCTGGGCCTGATCGAGAGTCATCGCGATGCGGAGCTGACCAAGGAATTCCTCCGGCTGGCCAACACAGACAGGCTGGACATCATCACGTTTGCCGAGCTGCTCCAGGTGGATCTCAAAAACACCAATCTGCACAAGCTCTTTGCCCTGCTCGATCACGTAAGTTCTTATTTTAACTTCAGTCGGATATTTGCAACGCTGTATAGTATACATCTTGCTGCTAATGGATAAATTTTACGTTTCTTTTGTTCAATAAACTTTTATTTTTTAATAAGAACAATACGTTGTTTTGCAATAAAAATCAATTGGTCATATAAATTATAAATTAAAAATTATATAACATACATTATATATTATATACAGTATTATATATAAAAAAGTGTATTATTTATATTTAAAAAAAATCATCTAGTCAGAAAAATTCAGAAACCTTGGTGTTCAGGATTTCTAAATGCCTTTAAAATTACTGCTTTTAATAACTAATAATAATTTAGGAAGGAATAATGCAATAAAACCCTTTAAATTTAAGCAAGTACCAAAAAAATCAAATCTTGTTGAAGCTCTCTCTTTCTGATCGGCATTCGCCATCTCTTTTCTTTTAGCGACGCATGGGCACAGTGAGTTTGAAGAGCTTCCTGCTCTGCTCCCTCTTCTGCAAATTGAAGAATTCCGAACTGTTGACCTTCCTGCGTGCCCTCATCCACGTAATAAACTATGTCCTAAATTAAAAATATATATTTAATCTTATTTATTTGATATATACCCTATAGCTCTATAGCGAATCTAGTCAGCGAATCGACAGGGAGAGCTTTGTTCGCCTAATGAGACATGCTGGCGGCAAGCTAAATGAACAAAAGGCGCAGGCGCTCTTCTATGCGCTTGATACTGATAATCTGGGCTATGTCTCCTTTGGTGCGTATTTTACTATTAATTTAAACCCTAAACTTGTGATAAATGGCTCACTTCTATTGTTTTTATTTAATTTTGAACCTTTATTAAATAACTTAAAATCATCTGTAGTACGACGATCTTATAAAAGTTAACATTAAAGCTTTAAGTGTGGTGTTAACCCATTAAAGCAATTTCTTTCAAAAATTTTTTTTTAATTCCCAGATGTAGAGATCTTCCATAAGTTAACCCCCAGTTAAAAGGACATTTCCTTTAATAATGTCTTGCAAACGTTAGGCCCCAGTTATATTTGAAGTTTTAAGAGTGGTGTGAACCCTCTGAAACAAATTCAACATTTTCCTTTAATCAGCTTTGATAAGTTGATCTTTTAAAAGTTAACCCCCAGTTAAAGTTAAAGTTTTATGTGTGGTGTGAACGTTTTCAAAGCAACTCATTTCGATCTAATATGAAATTCATAATCGCCAGATACCTTTGTGGAGCACACGGAGAAGCAAAAATCGAGCTATAAATTCCTCTATCACAAATCGGAGCACATAAGGCGACCGAAGGCAGTCACAACGCCCGCCAACAACTGAAGAGGGAGCACACTTGTGTGCGATTTAGGCTAAAGGCCTTGAAGCTGGCGGACGATGACGATGACGAGGAGTAACCAAGAAGAGAAGAACCCAACCTAAGCAGAATGTTCAACTGTCGAGTGTATATTTTTAATATTTATTTATCGTGTAACGCGCGTGTCCTGGCACCCATATATTGTAATTAATATTATTTCTATTATTATTACTACCATAGTTTCTTGTAAAACAAATGCTCAGAGCACAGAGTTTCGGATCTGATTGCGACCAGCTTTTTTATTATTTATACTCGGACTCTAAACGCAAGTCATTTCATCTTTGTGATTCTTATTATACACACTTACGTTATATATACACATATACTTAATTATATAAAGCATATGTAAACAAGTTTGTATTTTATGTAGAGGCAGGCGGCAGGCGAAGCAACCATCGCAGCCCCATTTCCATGGCCAAAAATGAGTAAAGAAACCACAAAGAATTGTATGGCAAGCCATAGGTATAAGATATAACAGAAGCTCTCCCTTTTTGATCCCACTCATCGCCAGAATACACCACCAAGAAGAAGACCACACAGAACAATGGAACTGCGATCGAAAACGATCATAACCAACACCACTAACTAACCAACAAACCAACCAACCAAAACTGAACAACCACCAAGCACACTGAACGAAATCATATTGTAAAACCATCCTAAAAAGTATAAAGACCAATGTCACAGAAATGCTTTTTAAACTTAAACTCTAGCTCAACTAAATTTATTAGTTGAATTAAATTATTGATGATATTGATATTGGACTTGTTAATCATCAGATTTCGATTTTACATTTGATCTTGCACTAGATTATTTCTATTTAATTTGGCGATTATAAGATTTTAGCTTTGTTCATGAGCATTCTAATCATTATTGATGTATAATGTATTCTTTTGGACTTGATTGTATCAAATATGAACCTAACTTTTTGTCCTGCACTAGAATATTTTAATTTTAATATTTTGTTCTTGAGCATTCTAATAACATTTTGCAACACTTCATTTTGCTGAATTTGAATTTTAAGGATCTCTGATCTGTTTTACACTTAACTTCAGTTCTATGTGTCCTGAGAGCAAATGATCAGTCATTTTGTTATCGAATTTTGTTATCGAACATTTCTTGTGCATTTGCAAACCACACGGCGAACTTATGTATAGACTTTCAAAACTGCACCTGGCACCGAGAGCAAAAATCTATGTAGAGCACAGCCCGTACTTAAGTCAACACACAAAACAACACCCCCCACACACACAGAGAGTCTGTTCTATATATGTTATTGAAAAAGAAAAAACACCAGTAAATGTGTAATTGCAAAGAAAAAATCTGCAATAGGAACGTGGCTCTTTCGAATTTGATTATGATATCGAAAGAGCAACAACAGAAGGAACTCCGTAGTTTTTACATTTTGAGAAGAACTAAACCTAAGCTAAAAAAGAACTTATTTATGTATGTATGTGCTATTGTAATAGATATTATTAGCGCCCTAAGCCAGCACCGAGAGCAAACCCAAATCGGCTGAGAAATCTGCTCAAAAAAATGAAAAATATATAAATATATATGTGTGTACGATTTTAAAGCCATCCTCTGTCTATCTATTTTCTATTTCATTTTATTTTCATGGCAATGGGAATGGGTTTAATGGGCGTTTTCTGGAAACGCCCCTGGCACCATCAAGAGTTGATCTGAAATGCAGTGAACGACGGGAGCAGCACAGTCTGACATTGATATTCCAACGGATCGGATCTTATTTTTTTTTTGTTTTTTCTGGTGTTAAAGTTTTTGTTTTAAGTTGTTTTTTAAAGTGACGAAATGAACGGATCTGCGGGAAGCAGAATCCTATCCATCCTTCTCATTACAAACATTTGGCCTTGGGTCGAATGTTTTGTCAACTCGTAAGGACTACCGCAAAAAAAAATTGTTTTTTCAGTGTAGATTTTGATACCGCCCATTTTTAGGCCCAAAATTATAAGCAAAGATGGCAATTTGATTTTCGAGTCCGGAGCCAATCGCAATATCAGTTTTCGACTGAACGGAATTTCACGGCTCACGATCAACGATGAGTACGATGTGATGGAGATTTTAACAGCCAGCAGTGGTGCCAAGAAGCGATCCGGCGGTGCCAAGGATGAATGGAACATTGCCGAAGATTTCGTGGATGTGAGAGAGCTGTCCGATCAGTTGGCTGATTTCCAACGGAGAGCCTTTGGACCCAATGGCTTAAATGATAAGCTACGATTGCAGCAGAACAGGTGAGCATTAAAAGTGAATAAACCCATTCAGATCTCTGAAACTGTTGGAGTTCGAATAGCAAATTTTGGGATGCAAGTTTGAATGTCTATTCTTAAATATGCTAAGCAATTATAATGCTTATATTCCTTAAGAAAATCTAATTGTCACGAAGGAGTTTGAGCATATGCTTTATTATTATTTATTATTAATATTTATAACTAATCAACAAATCAAAATTATATATACCTCCTGTATAGGTTTACTATATAATCCTAGACAACTTGAAAATAATAGTCAGAAAGAAGATAGTGGGATAAATAGGATGGATAAGAAAGGTTATACATGAAATATGAAAGAAAATGTAAAAGGTATAGGTTGTAAACTCTTAGTCAGCTCCAAAACAACAGTTTAAAATACGAAATGGGATAGGAGTTTGAGCTCTAACATAAAATTCGTTGATCAAATTTGTTTAACAAACGTTTTGTACTATTCAATAAAGATTATACCAATATGTTAAATATGCTTGTAAAGACATATCCTTCATAATGCGCTCTGTTTTGGGACAGGACTCGCGGATCGTTGGCCCTGATGCGGCGTTTCCAGACGCGACTTAGGGCGGTGGAGAATCGAGTGGATCGGTTGAAGACACAGATTGAGACGAACAGCTGTGCAAGTGGACCCTGCGACAATGGAGGCACCTGCTACAACACCTTCAATGGCTTTCGCTGCCAATGCCGGCCGGCCTTTGAGGTGGGTATATATACAATCTCATTAAAATAAATTCCCCTTGATAACACAGAAAAAGGGGAGTATTTAGGGGCGTCGGAAGTGTTGTCCACAAAAAAGTCAATGATTACCGTTTAAATATTGTTTCTTATAAAATTGATTATAATTAAATTTGCAATTTAAAGCTTTGAAAAAAAAAAATGTACAAACGTGTGCTTAAATATTGCTCTCTATTTAATTTCATATCATTTTATAAAAATAAACCCAAGACGCCCTTTCTTCAGCACATGAAAAAATAATGAGAAAATACGCTAGCAGATTAAATTAAATCACTTAAGAATATGTTGGCCAGGCTTAACAATATATATACGTTTTAATTTTAAACTGAAATAGGTTTTTTATAGTCCCATTTAGTTATTTTCATACTAAATAAAATATTGAAAAATTAAAAAAAATTTAATTAATTTAAATTAATGAAAAGTACCAACGCAAGTTCTTTAGATTCAACTCGCCACGTAGGTAAGTAAGTAGGTAACTTAAATTAAAATAAATGAACAAATGGTAACGCGAATTCTATAGATTATTATTCAAAAGTATACTTGTGCAGTATATAAATAACATGACATTGATAACATGTTTTGATGTTCCACTTTTGCAGGGCACCAAATGCGAGGTGGACGTTAACGAGTGCGCCCTGTACGAGGGCACCGACCTGGGCTGCCAGAATGGCGGCCAGTGCCAGAACCAGTTCGGATCGTACAGCTGCCTGTGCCAGCCGGGCTGGCATGGGATGCACTGCAGCCAGCGCAAGGCGGACTGCTCGCAGTCGAGTGCCTGGGAGCTGTGTGGCCATGGATCCTGTGTGCCCAGCTCCGACGAGGCCAGCTATCGGTGCCTGTGCGAGCCGGGCTGGAAGACCAATGGCCTGACGCCCGTTTGTGGCGAGGATGTGGACGAGTGCAGCGATACGGCGGCCCACACGCCCTGCTCCACCAAGTGCATCAACCTGCCGGGCAGCTTCACCTGTGCCCCCTGTCCAGCCGGCTTGACCGGGAACGGGGTGAGCTGCCGCGACGTGGACGAGTGCCAGACGAACAACGGGGGCTGCAGTCTCAGTCCAAAGGTGGACTGCATCAATTCCTACGGATCGTATCACTGCGGCGAGTGTCCGCTGGGCTGGACGGGTGATGGCCGAAAGTGTGAGCGGAGTGCCCAGGATTTCGATGCCCAAAGTGGTGGACAACCGCCGAGAAGCTGTCCGGCGGGCAACAATCCCTGCTATCCGGGAGCCAGCTGCTTCTTGATCTCCGGCACCGCCTCCTGTCGTTGCCCAGTGGGCATGGTCGGCTCTGGCTATGGCCTCATGGGCTGCGTCAATGGCACGACCACCAATTGCCTGGGAAATCCCTGCCTGGTAAGCCTTATATTGCCTACCTTTACTGCAGAACCATGACTCTGCAGATTTTTTAGGGGTTATAAATTTGTTATTTAGGTAGCCAAAAGTATATTTGTTATATTTACTTTTTATCAAAAATAATGATTTTCTTTTTTTTTTTTTGTTTTCCATTTTATTTTTTCAAAAATTATGATTTTTTCTCTACAATAATCGTTATGTTTGAAAAGCATAATAAAAATTACAAATAATGAATAAAACTTATAATTCTTACGTTCCCAGGTTTTTTTTCAATATTATTATTATTTTTTTTAATTCTTCGTTATTGTTTTTTTTTTTTTTATGATTATTTTTGAAGAGTACAATCAAAATCAAAAAAAAAAGTTTTTGTATGCCTGAAATAAAACTTATAATGACTATGGTTCCTGTTTGCAATAGAACGATGGCATTTGCTTGGACGCCGGACCCTCGAACTTCACCTGCATATGTCCCAGTGGCTTCCGCCTGCCGATTTGCGAGCCGGTGCCGAGTCCCTGCGACTTGCATCCCTGCAAGAACGGAGGCCGATGTCGCCAGACGGTGACGGGTGGCCAAAACGACTTCGTGTGCCAGTGTACACCGGGCTACAGGGGTCGACTCTGCGAGACGCGATTCAGCAGCTGCAACGGGATGCTGAGTGCGCCGAGCGGACGACTGCGGTACCCGCCGGAGGGCACCGGATACGAGCACAATGCCCAGTGCGCCTGGGTGATCCGCACCAACGAATCGCTGGTGGTAAATGTGACATTCCACAGCTTCGACGTGGAGGACGCCACCGAGTGCCGGTTCGATTGGCTCCAGATCAACGATGGCCGATCGGCGGCAGCCCAGATCATCGGACGCTATTGTGGCAGTCATCTGCCACACGGCGGCAACATCGTCTCCTCCGGCAATCAGCTGTACCTCTGGTTCCGGTCCGACAACTCGACGTCCAAGGAGGGATTCGATCTCAGCTGGAACTCAATGCAGCCGCAGTGCGGTGGTCGCCTCGAGTTCGACACCCATGGCACCCTCGCCTCGCCCGGTTCGCCGGGCAACTATCCCAAGAATCGCGACTGCCAGTGGCAACTGGTGGCTCCCAAAACCAAGCGCATCAAACTGACCTTCTTCAGTCTGCAGCTGGAAGAGCATGCCAATTGCAATTTCGATTATGTGCAGGTAAGTGCCATTTCTAGGGGTTCAAAACCACCCTGTGCTATTTGTTCGGTTTCACTTTGCCTGCTGAAATGGGTTTCTAAAAAAACACAAATGCAGTTGAATATTGTTATTATTTTTTTTTATTAAAAAAAAAAAATTAAAAAAAAATCAAATCCGATATAAGAGTTTTCTCATTTAAGGGTTTCATTTTTTATTAAAACTCTCACAGAGGACTATTGCACTACAAATATGCTAACATATCATTTAAAGAAGAGTTTTCTTTTGTGAAAAACAAATTATTTATTTTTATAAAAAAAAAAAAACAGTTTTATGAATTTTATTTTTTGTTTTTTTTTTTCTTTTTTCATTAATGTTCAATACAAAATTATAGTATATTAATATATTACATTTGAGAATATTTTTTTTAATTCGTTTAAAAATGTGGATTATTGTTTTCTCCTGTTAATCTTGAATAACCTTCCCTCCAGATCACGGACACCATTTCCGGACGCGAGTTGGCCAAGTACTGCACCAGCGGAGCGCCGGCACCGCTGCTGTTGCCCACCCACCAGGCAGAGATCCAGTTCCACTCGGATGCAGATGGCAGCGATACGGGCTTCCAGCTTCACTATTCCGCGGAGGAGGGTTTGCCCGGCTGCGGAGGCACCTACACCACCAAGCAGGGTACTATTTCCGAATCAACGTTGGATTATGCGGAACCCGAAGGCATTTCCTGCGAATACGAAATTCAATTGGCCTTGGGCGAGGCGGTAGAAATTACGTTTGGGAGTCTGGAGCTGGGGCCACTGGACTGCCTGGAGATTTGGGAACCCAACCCCGATGGTGACATTATGCACCAGAAGTACTGCGGACCAAATGCGCCCCGCAAACCACCGGCGCAAACCTCCCAGAGCAATCGCTTGAGGGTGAAGTTCTATGGCCGTGCTGGCCGATTTGAGCTGCAATACCGCTTGGCCTGTACCTGGATAATAGACGATGCCACCAAAACGATCGCCTCTTTGGGATATCCCAATAATGTCACCAGGGTCGAT